TAAAAACTACCACAATCATTGAAATCTTGGACACCCCCATACCTATACCAGATGCCCTGGTGAAACTCTTTAGTTGTTTCAGTTCAGTGCATAGCGGGCCCATCTTTCAGATGGTTAGGGAGAGTTGGAGCACCAACTACCTTACTGTCTCTTTAGAAAAATTTGGCCAGTACTCACACATTACAATCAGTTGGTGATTCAAAAGCAACACACAATGGAGGGCTAATTTGGCATTAGGTCTCATTGTAGCTATTGCAGTAGTTAAGGGAGAGAGAGCTGGGATCTCCACAGATACATTCCATATACGCAGAGGCTAACTTAGTAGGAGTTTATTTTTCATGTACACCACCATCCAATGTGGGTGCTCGGCACCCTTTTCAGAGGGCATTTCAGGAACCCAGGCTCCTTTATCTTGAGGTCCTGCCACGTTCTTGGGTCTTGAAGTCCTTTACTTCTAGCCAGCAGACAGGGAAATGGGTGAGTTGAAGACAGGCTAGGACAAACATGTCAAACGCGTGGCTGCAGGCTACAGGCCTCGTTTAAACAAACCTGCGAGCCGCCAGTTAGACATGCTTGTGCTAGGAGGTATTTATGGAAGTTGAGTTTCTCATTTCTACCCACATTCCACTGGCCAGAAGTAAGTCACAGAACTCATCTCCAAACAAGGATGGTGGTGATGAGGCTTCCTACCAACCACTTTACACCAACGATTTTCAACCAGTGTGCCGTAAGAATATTTAAAACATACAATACCTGACTATTTAGTCAGGGGGCACTGAACTCTTTTCCCTTAGATTATCAAAAAAAAAAAAAAATGACAACAGCCAACACAACAATAGCCTTCCAGTGTGAATGAATCAAAATTAGACCTATATAGTTTTGTACTGCAGCATTTTGGCAGGTAGTTTATGTGTGCCATGAGATGGAAAAGGCTGAACATTGCTCCTCTACATTAAGGAAGAGGAGCATCTCCATTAGTCTACAGCTGGCCCTCTTGGCTGCAGTCAGAGTGAGCACTGTAAGGTTTCCAAATCTCAGAGATGAGTGAAACGTCTGAGGTGGGACTTTGAGATAGTCCATGAAGTCTGCGTGTGGATTACAGTCGTCACTTGCCTGACATCTTCGGAATTAAGGTGGTCCTCAGAAACCATGAAGTCAGGACTGATCGAAGTAGTGTAGTTAAGAAAGGGAAATAATAATTCATCAGCAATTGGAGATGTTATTTTCTTTGTTATGGAGTGACACAGAGGGTAAGGGCCCAATCTGGATTCTGAGCTGGTTTATATTACAGCAGAACTTGTGTAATTATAGTGAAGAGAACTCTGTTTCCATTTTTGTAAAACTATTGCTACAAGTTTAGCTTTGTTAGTGCATATTTTCCCTTAAAAATGTTTTTATGCTTGGCAGAAATTATAACAGCACATGCTTTTACCTTATGGGTTTTATTTGTTGTGGTGCTTTGTTGCTTCTTGGTTATTTTTATTTGTTTTATGAAAGCTTAACCTCTCTCTTAAAATTATCTTACGATTTTTACTTTGAAACTGGGATTGGCTATGATATGAAATTGTCCTGAATTTCATTTTCATCTTTCTTTGTTAAGATGCTTTTGATGCCACATAGTATTGTTACCATTGTAATTAGGTAATTATTAATCATAGGAAATGGGCAAAAGGGAGGCCAGGCATTGTAAGCATACCATCTGGGCAGCTTTACCAGGAAGCTGCAACTTCACACTTTTGAGGGAAACACTGGTCTATTCCCCGGAAATCACTGGGGGAAAGGTGTCTAACAAAGGGGAGATGAGTGCATTCACTCTAAGGTTGGGGAGATGTAGGGAAGGTGCCTGTTAATCTAACCTGGAACAGAGATAATTGGCCAAGGGGGTGGGGCCACTGCAAGCCCAAGGAAATTTGGGAATGCGTAATCCCCCAGATGAAGGAGTTTTCTCTCTTAGTGTTCTTGTTCCTCTGGCTTTGCTCCTGCCTGTGTTCCCTTCATGGCCATGTGGTCCTGCAAACTCCACATGCAACGGGCTGATGGACTGCAGTGGGAACCACAAACTAAGCTAGCTTGATGCTGGATTGGACCATGCAAACATGAAACAGCAACTCTGGACAACAGCTTTAATCCCAGCTCTGCTGAAAGCAAAACAGGACCTTTTCCTTGGTGGGATGGAGGGGAAATGGGATCTTGGAAACGCAGGGATGTAATTTAATGCAAACAAATGCCACTCATTCTCCCACGTGATTTTCAGAAAATTCCTTTTCTCATGACACGGCAAGAAGTCCACCTCTGCTGTCAACTGGTGCAGACATGGAGAGCTCCCCACCCATAACAGTATCAGAATCAGTGACCTGTGAAATATATTTCTTCTCCCACTGACTATGGAACAATTCTGACAAGTGACTTAACTTTCCATTTTCTCATCAATGAGATTTTATTGGTCCAGTGATCTCTCCAGTTATCTTGAAATGAATGTTTAGGGCTAAGTAGATTTTTATGGACCATGTGATTTACCCCGCGGTGTGCTGGAAACTGGATTGTGCTAGCCTATGATAACTGAATAGTGGAAACTTGTTCTAACAACCTATATTACATATTAAATATCCCAACTCACAATTTAAGAACTTGTATTCAGAACTCACATTTCCCTATTTTTTGTTATATTTTACCATTTTCTATGCTCTTGAGGTTCTTCTATCCATTGTGTCCATATGGTGGAAATACTATACAGTGGAGTGTTATTGCACCCCTCTTCCCAATTCCGCACTCAGTGACACCACTTAGGTAGCTTGAAGTGGGCCTGGTGGGTGCTGTTTGTTAAAGGTTTACCAGCAGCCCACAGGACTCACAACACAGATCACACTCCTCAACGGTAGTGTTGGGGCTTGAAGGAGACAAGTAGAACCAGGGACACTGTAGATGCACAATGAAGGACAGCAGCTTTTAGGGTCATTCCTTCAGAAAATCTCTGCCATCACCATGGAGCCTACAAGTGGTCGGTGATGTCAGATCATGGCAGTCCAGGGACATTAAAAGGACACAGAATCTTGACTCCATCATAAAGTGGATTCAGTAATACTTGACTCCCTCCCTTTTAGGGATATGTTAGAGGGGAAAAATGTCCTAACTGATGTCCGACCATTTTGAATCATTAAGAAGTACAAATTCTATTCCAATTCTTCTTAAATTAGAGGTTGAGAAACAGTTTTGCACAGGTTTGCTGGTTTGTGCTAGTGATGACTTTGAGAAGAAAATATGCTCCCTTCCTTGCCCCCATGGCTACAGTCCAGAGCTGCAGTGGTGGTTCCGCAGTGCTGGCCCCTGGACATGTGCACAATGGTGCATGACCAGGTTTTCTTGGGCTGCTGGCAAATAAGAACAAGGAAATAGGATATTATCTTATCATGGGAAGGACTGTCTTTTATTGTGGGATTCTGTTCTTCTGACAATTTTTATGTCAATATATTCTTTCTTTATGAAGTGACAATGATAATAGATGGTAGTGGTGCACGTAGATTTAATTTTAATGTCTGTACTTGGAAAAAGCTGGAAATTATGTTGATTTTCTTTCTTCAATGTCCAAGTTTTTGTGTGTGTTGTTGTTGCTGTTTCTTTCTTTTTTTCTTTCTTTTTTTTAATGTTTGTGGATCAATGGAATGTAAAAGCCTAAAACTATTCCATGTTGACTTTAAATGAGTTTTCTGGAAGCAAATAAGACTTTTGGAATTAGTCCACATGTGACTTACAAGTCAAATGATTCTTTTAAAAAAATATATTTTATTGATTTTTTTACAGAGAGGAAAGGAAAGGGATTGAGAGTTAGAAACATCAATAAGAGAGAAACATCGATCAGCTGCCTCCTGCACACCCCCTACTGGGGATGTGCCTGCAACCAAGGTACATGCCCTTGACCGGAATTGAACCTGGGACCCTTCAGTCTGCAGGCCGACGCTCTAGCCACTGAGCCAAACCGGTTAGGGCAAGTCAAACGATTCTTAATGGAATTACTTCATAGGTAACTTGTATCAGCAGCATAGACATGTGCAAGCACTTTTGTTTACTCCTGTCATTGGCTACTCTCATAAAACTGTTAGTAATCATTACTAAGAAAATCAAAGCATGAACAAAACAACCTTGTTCATTTCTTCTCCTCTGCCAAGACAATTTTTTAGTCTTAATAGAACCATTCTTTTGAGAAGAGGCATGGAAAAAGCAAGCCTTCAAGCTTAAAATTGCAATTATATTGTTTGCTTTTATCTAAAGAAATAGCCATCATATTCCAGAAGTTCTTGAGCCTACATCTGGCTTTAACCATTTGCCTCCCCACTAACACTGTTGATATTAATGCCAATTTTAATTTATTGGCATCACATGCGCATAAACATCTCTCTCTCTCTCTCTCTCTCTCTCACACACACACACACACACACACACACACGTGATTTTGAACAAGGACTGAAAGTGTAAATTAGGAAGGAAGAGATTCACAGGATTTCATCAGATCGGTTCACTCCAAAAAGTGACATAGTTGTCCTGGAAAGGTTTTAAATTGCTCATTTCAAACTTACCTCAGTAGCTAAATGCCATGCGTGCAACAGATTTGCAACCACGTTAGTCATTTTCTTTCCTCCGTTTTTCTTGCTGTGTTTGTATTGGGAGCACAGAGCAATGTAATTTAGTAAATTATGATTTGATGGCTGGGCAACAGCCCCAGTGTTGAACAGTATTTGGACTATAATTACTTGCTGGCTTTGTCACAGTTGACATTAATTATTGATGGAAGTTTCAGAAATAGCGCATGTGCCAGGAGCCTTTCACCGGAACTCCAGCTCCAAGCAGGAGGGATGCTAAGGAGGGTGGGGGGATTGGCACCTGTGGCTTGTTTATGTCTGTGCACAGCAAACCTGCGCCCGGGGGGCTGTGTGGCACCTGTGTAAAGGCCATGGTGTAACAGGAGGATGAACCGTCAGGCTTATTTCTATCGTGTTCCTCCCCAGGAATTGCACCGGAGAAGCCAACTTCAGCCGGAGCCAGCCAAGACGAAGGCTCTCCAGACTGTCATTGAGATGAAGGTAGGAGCTGTTCACATTTGTCAAAAAAGCTGTGGCTCTGGAGTTTGTTCTAACTTGGTGGGTGCCTAGCAAACATGGAAATGAATGTTGTATTTTTCTCTAGGCTCCCTGATAAGTGCTTTTATTCTGGGTCTTTTGCCTTCCTGGGTACATTTAATTTCTCGGCCTTTTAAGATTCCTTTTCTGAGCAAAAGAATAAAGGGCTCAAGTATCCCTTGGCTCAGGGGAGCGGAAAGGAGCTGGGTTCCTTTCCAGAGCATTGCTGATGCTTTTCCCCTTAAGGGATGTTTTGTGTGTGCTTTAAAAGTAAATTTCTAACCCTGGAAAAAAATATTTTCCCCTCCCACTCACATTGCAGTGAAAAGACACCTTGACAAACTAAGATTTGGCTTTATATACAATGGAGTCATTAAATAATTTAAATGATGCTGTTAGCAAAATTTGCTTATCAAAGAATAATACTTTTTTTTTTGCTTATCAAAGAATAATACTTTTTTTTTTTTTTTTGCTTATCAAAGAAAATACTCCAGTATTTTCTCCTAACCATGCTTGGAGGTAATACTTTTTAAAATCCTCTCCAGGTACCCTCTTTAGCTGTGGAAGCACAGAAATATGCTATTTAAAAGGGTCAAAGATACTCCTGGATGGATTCAGGGCTTTTAAAGAATAATGATGTAAATGATGGTGGCCAAATCACGATTTATGATTAAGAAACAGATCTAAATGAAAACCAATTGCTTTGTCAGTATCTAGACATTTGAAGTCTTGTTACTTCCAGTTTTTGCCAGAAGAAAACAGAGTATTCATCTTAAGAATAAGTAATTCTTGATTTAAATTGCTCCATGACAACACCGCAGCAACAACGTCTGCAATTTAGTAATTTTACACGTGAGTTTAACACTCAAGAGTTTGTCACCATCAGCCTGCAAGAGAATCATGAAGTTTGCTGATAGGATAATGATTTCTCTGTCTTTCTTATAGCAGATGATTTTGAATTGTCTGCCAAAAATTCCCATGTCCTAGGGAAAAATAAATGAATATGAACCATTGAGTTCTTGGCATGTACAATTCTCTTTTTTTCCCCCCTCCAGTCAATGACAGTGTCTTTATCCAAGTAGATTTTTGTGGAAATAATGTAGAACATTTGCTTTTAAACTATATGTCTCCCGAAGGTTACATGAGTCAAGGTACTCATAATGCATTTGCAGCAAATTGGTTTGAAAAATATAATCAAAGGGACCAGCTGCCAGTAAGATTAAAAATAATTGCTAATTTTGGCTTATCAGTTCATTTTGAATTTATGTAATTTTAATTTATTTTGAAATGAAACTTATTCTACAACTGAGGGAGATTGGTTCATAACTGAGATTTCATCCTCACTTCACATTAGAACCAAACTTGAAACTTTGATAAGGAAAAAAAAATAAAGGAAGAGAGAGAGAAAAAGAAAGAAAAGACAAATAATTAATTTTAAAGATTTTTAAAAATATATATTTTATTGATTTTTTACAGAGAGGAAGGAAGAGAGATAGAGAGTTAGAAACATCGATGAGAAACATAGATCAGCTGCCTCCTGCACACCTTCTACTGGGGATGTGCCCGCAACCAAGGTACATGCCCTTGACCGGAATCGAACCCTGGACCTTTCAGTCTGCAGGCCGACGCTCTATCCACTAAGCCAAACTGGTTAGGGCTTAAAGATTTTATTTTATTGCAAAAAGTCATTCAGTCACTTTTCTACCCACCTCCACACCTATATCCGCACAATTAGTAATGGGAAAGAGGGTACATATAAAATCTATTTCCAAAGTATTGTGTGTTTTTTTTAAAAATAAATGAACAAACGTGTCCCAAAACTATTTGGAGAAGCCAGGAATGACATCTCTTCCAGTGCTGTGGGCCTTTTCCTAGTAGAGGTCACTACAGAGACAATTAGTACTTATTTGTGACTTTAATAAATAGTAAATCTGTTTGATTCTAGCTTACTGTTTTTAACATCATATGTTTTGTTGGAAAACAAAAAAATAATAAATAAAAACACTTGTTTAGGCTATCTAGGTGGGTAGGCATAAAAACATGATTTTTTTAGGGCAAATTTATATCCATATATTATCAGTAAATTGAGTCTGGAGTTTTTCTCTGATGATGCCAATGCTCCTGATTTGTAGAACACATTTTAAGGACAATGATGATCAATGTGTTTGTCAGGGAATCGGGCCTGGAGTGTTTCTGTTGTCTTTTGGATGCCTGCTTATTTACAAAGTATAGCCTTCTGTTTTGTCAGTGGGGAAGTCTGAGTCCCATTAGCATCTACTCAACATGCATAAATTGAATTATGGAGGCAGCTGGTAGAGGGTCATTTCCTCAGCCATGTGTGTAGCTTGTGATAGAGGCTGTGATCTCATCTGATTTTTTTTTATTACATCCCTTTTAAATTGGAGGGAATATTGGAAACCAATACTTTATAAGCTATAGGGTTGACTATCAAATAGATCTGACCCTTAATCCTGGTGGGTGGAATTTGAGACCCTATTGTGTTTTAACTTAAACACCTTCGGGTAAACATCAGTGTCATATATAGCGCCTTGGCAAAATCTGGAGTTAAAGGGAGTTTTCCAAGAGGACGTTGATCAGTAGTTTCAGGGAGGTGGCGTGAAGTAAGGACTTAGAAGTTATTCCTACTTATCCCTTGCTACTTAGTGAATCTGAGGGAGACTTTCTGACTTCTCATCGTCACCACCCTTATACTTTACATCAACTCTAGAAAGGTATTTACTGTGAAAATCTGTGAAGTCAAGCACTTTAGAACCACAATCTCATACGTGTAGTGACTCTCTCTGTGCCCCTCGCCCTTGTAGAGTTGTGAAGGTCTCTCTCTGTGGGGCACACCATGGGGAGGGCCATTGGTAGCCATCACATCTATTACTGGCCAGCTGAGTCTAGGGAGGGTCACCTGAATGAAAATGAAGGGAAGCAGAATGAATTGAAGTTATTTGTGATTTATCTTCTTGCAGGGAGCTCCAAGTTTTAATTTTGGTCCCGATTTGGTCTGGCAGGTATGTTCCTGGTTTGCACTGTTAGAACACTGTGTGTGTTTCTCCGAAAAATTAGTTTTCCTGTGGATGTTGCTGTGCTTTTCTCTTTCTTGCTTTTGTGTCTAAATTTTTTTTAGTAAGACCCTCTTTTCTGCTCTTATGGAGAACTGTCAATAAAAAGGGCAGCTAAAAGGCTTTTTACCTTCTTTTTTCTTTTGTTAATGCTGTCTTTTGAAAGAATTGTTTTTAATCTATTTTTATTGTAATTTTGACATGGAATAAACATGATGTCCAAAAGTTTCACTTTCTTGGGTTCATCCCTAAAGCTGTATCCAGTGTTATTCTTCCTTCCTTCCTTTTTTTTTTTTTTTTTTAAAAAGGGAAATGAATTACAGTAATGACAGTACTTGTCAGATAATCTCAAAATTTTTTTCTTTGTTACTCAGAACTTTCAGATGAATGAAAATCTAATTCAAAATGGCTTAAGCCAAAAGGAAATTTATTGGCCCATATCAATGGAAAAAAACCCCACAACACAAAACAGCAGAAGTATTGCTTCCAGCACAGCTTGATCCAGGGGCTCAAGAGATATTGACAGATCTCATTTTCTCTCATTCCATCTCTTGTTTTGGCTTCCTTCATGTGAGCTGTATTTTCAGACAACCTCTTCGCCTGTCTGAACAAGGTGACTGCAGCAGCTCCAACAGTCACAGAGGGAAGGAACAGGAAGAAAGCCGTGTTTAAAAAAAATGCAGAAAACCCAATCAACCCCAGAATAATAATTACTGAGTTAGGGCATAGAAGCATAGAACCTCACTCACACTTAGCAACGCCGGCTGAAAAGAAAATGCATGGAGTTCCCTAGGTTCTCCTTTGCTTGTGAATTGAATGGCACTCATTCATCAAGTAAAACAAGTTTTATCCTAGCACTGACAACAGCAGAATTTATCAAATGGGACATATACTAGTGATGTCATGGTTTTAGTGAAAGTTGCAGAAAATACACTTGATCTGGTGAACTTGTTCTTAAAGTGGATTAAGAGGCTGGAGGCATAATGTCTCCATGTGACAATGTCTCTGTGGCAATTGAAGTGAGGATTGTGGGTGGTTAGCTTTCCAGTCACATGACCAACCAGGGCACATGTGTGTCATACGTGGTTCTTCTTTAGCAAAATTGTCCCCACCATGCTCTCCATGGGAACTGTGCTGTAAGCAATTCAAGACTGAGCTTGACTGAATTGTCCACTTCTAGTTGTGCTGTTGATAAAAAAAGTGTGACTTGTATTCAGATGCTAAACTCCAGTGGGAAGGTTGATTTTTGTTATCAAAACTAAAAATCAAGCCTTGTCTTGGTGCTCAGGCATGGAGACTACTCTTCTCCATGTGGTTGAGCTGACCTGCAGTTGGGTTACGTTTCCCCTAAAAGACATCTTAGTGCTTCGTCAAATTCAGCCATTTCAGTTCTGCCAGGCACAGAAGGTGCTGGAGCATGGAGAAGACAAGAGCTACCACTTGCCAACCTCTCCCAAGGTCACACAAGCTAGGGAGGGAGAGATTTCAAATCCAAACCTAGGCCATTGAATGCATCCCAGTTTCCAATGTGAACTTAATTCCAGTCTTAGGATCTAATCAGGAAAACTATGTAATGGCTGAAGTATTTTTATTTATTTTTTGTTTGTTTAGGTGTATATTTCATCTGTCTTTTGAACTGTTACTTGTTTGAGTGTAAACACAAACTCAGAATAATTTCTTCTCCTGGGATGATGTGTTCATATAACATTTGTGTCAAGCCTAGTTTTTCTAGTCAAGCCATTATGATGGCCTTTAGGATTTAAATTTTGCCTGGCTTTTTTTGTGGCTATTAAGAAAAGTAACAACAATAACAACCACCAGTGACAGCCTGCAGCTCGAACACCACTGGCCACACAGGCGCAGGGTACCTGACATATAAAAACTCGTGCATAG